TTAAGTAAATGCTCTGTTTGTAATAAACAGTATTAAACAACATTTACCGGCCTGAATGTCCGAGAAATTTTCATAGAAAATATTCGTCCTCCGAGACTTTGTCCATTTCATAATGTGTGAATGTCATATATATATATATATATATATATATATATATATATTAATAATAATAATAAATATATATTTTTTCTCAAGTGGCACTTGTCGATTGCGTTTCAATATATGGTAGCTGACTGTGGATTAGTAGAAATATAAAATGGTATTAAATATTATATGCGCTTTCATATGTTGTTGTTATATTCGTAATAAATTTTGTTCGATGTTGGTTGGTTGATTTTAACATAGAGAGTCTCGAGAATTTGAAGTTATTGTTTATTTTTTTCGTGGTGTAGTTTATTGCTGTTGTCAACAAGTATTTTCCTATATTGTAAAGTTGGACACACACATACATATATATATACATATCTTGAAGATGAAATGGAACTAATGCTTTTAATTTAATTGCAAAATTAAATTCGGGGTTTTTAGCTTCTTTTTTTGAAACATGGTTGGAACTGTGTAGCGAAAAAAAAACATATTTTAAATCAATTAATTTATAATATATATATATATATATTTCGTTTTCTTTCTTATTCCCTCTCTTTATTTTTGTATCTCGTTTTCTTTCCCTCTTTCTTTCATCCATTTTTACTTCTCTATATTTTCTCTCTTTCCGTCTGTCGTTCTTTCTGTCGCTTTCTCTTACTCACCCTCTTTATCTTTCTATGTATACTTTCTGTTTCATTCTCTCTGTATTTCCTCCCCTCTCGCATCACAGTTTCACCATTTCCTTCCTTTTTCTCTCTACCTTTATTTTTAACTATGTCCTTCTTCCTCGTTTTATTCGTATTTATTTATTTTTCTTTCTCTCTCATTTCTTTCTCTTTCTGCCACTTATTCATTCAATTAAAAGAAGCGATTAGATAAAAATTTCTATCTTTAGGTTACCGGGTTCGAAGTGTTAAAAGAGGAAATAGCCGTCTCTGTAGCCATGTTTAAAAATGTATTTTATTGGCCAATCGCGCCAAATGAAAACCAATTCAAATAAGCAGACGACAGTTATACAACTTTAGCGTTTCTAAATCTCCATGAGTTATTTATTAATTCTTAATTAAGTAACAGAAGCAGAACTGGCTTAACAGAGATAGGCAAACAGAGTTCACGTTCCAGCTGAGGGAGTTTTAGAAAAGTTTTAGAAAAGAAACGAAATCACCTCATCTAGCAGATGACGTCTGTCTTCTACCCATTGCTCTGAATATGTAACATAATCTATCTAAGGAGGAAATAGCCATGTAGCTCCTATTATCACAAGAAATCGCTCGTACAATATCTGATAGACTATTTTATTATGAGCGTGTGGCTGAATTGAATACATTACCGTTCTGGCCGCGAAACTCAAATTCAAATCTAACCATGGATGATTTGTTAAGGGAGTGATTTTCTTGATTATATCGGTCTGGAGAGACAATCCTTCTGCTCTGTATCTCATACTACGGATTGAGGTAAGCCCTGTCAGTGGAACTGGGTAGATGAAACTTCCATGTCTTTATAGAAATTTAATTTTTCCTGGTGCTCAAATTAAGGGATTTGTAAAATAACTAGTTTAAAGCCGCCTTATTAGGCGAGCATTTAAACTAACTCCTGCGGAGGTCTCTTGATTAGAGTTTGAGAGTATCTATTTTTTTTTGCATATTCTCAGCATTGGAGGCTCTCCTAGTTGCCGTTTGATCTGAATTTTCATTTGCACGGGACTTTCTTTTTCTAGCTGCAGCCTTGGCTCTTTTGATTGCAATCTAGTCCTCTGTTGGCGGAGATTTCTTTTCGCAAGGCATTCTGCTACCGTATGGGATAGGCAACAACAAGAGCTCAAAATTGATCGCGACATTTAAGTATTGCATTAATATTTAAGCTTACTTTTTAAAAGTTCGACAATAATTCTTTTGCCGCCACTTAATTTAAAAGCCAATTTGATGTATGTAGGTCCTTACTTTCCGTACAGACGATTATTTTTATTTCATGGGTGACTTTAGCTGGAAGCAAAAATCGCTCCGCGGCTCATGACGTCACACATGATCACGCATGAGTGAAAAAGAGAAGTGTTAAGTATGGGAAGCCGTTTGTATAAACCAATGGCTTCCGTTATCAATTATAGGCATTTCAGTGTATTTGAGGAGTTTTCCTAGTTTATTTTGTTCAGGTGTCTCGTATGCACGAGTTTGCCGTTGCCTGGAAATCTTCCAGGCAAGCAAAAAACAGACTATGATTATTGCCATGTCTGTGTATTGTTTAATGTATTGTAATGTTATTGTCATCTTTGATGATGGCTTATGTAAGCCGAAAGCTTAGATAGGATTAAAAAACATATATCAATATGGTGATTTTCTATCGTCTTTCAATGATAATATTATTAAGCTTACCAGACGATATGAAAGGAATTTGCATAAAATAAATAGACAAAACTTTTGTCTATATTATTTAATGAAACATGCATATATATATATATATATATATATATATATATATATATATATATAATATTTGTTTGCGTGTGCATGCTTGTATTTAAAGTGAAGAACAAAAAATAAAACAGGGGCAACTCAAATTTTACCCACAAAAATTTGAACCTTGTCTGAGGATCCTTTCAGGCCGAAACTTGAGTTGCCTTGGCTTCAATTTATTGTTTTTATTTCCTTTCATATATATATATATATATATATATATATGTAAGCAAATGTAAATGGATATAAATCCGACAGAATGAAGAAAATTTGGAAAAAAAAAACAAAAATCCTTAAATGCAATTATGTTGTTTAAAATGAATGAAATGTCGACGTCTGACGTTTCGGTTTAATAAACCTTTTTCAAGACAATATTCATTAAAATACAATTTAGTTCAATTTGACAAAAACGATGGACATAAAAACAAGTCTTATCCAAAACAGTTTTGGATAAGACTTGTTTTTATGTTCCAAATTTTCTTCATATATATATATATATATATATATATATAGAGAGAGAGAGAGAGAGAGACGTCACACATTATGGAATGGACAAAGTTCGACAATTATTTTTAAGACTGTTAATATAGGATAGCACACGAATATAGCCTATTTCTGGTTTTGTTGGCAGTGGAAGAAACAAAAATCATCTAATTACTTGACGTTCTCTTTGTGGTCAAAGTGGACGTTGGTTAGAAAAATTCACATCAAAAGGGGGGTCACCTTCTGGTTATTAAGCAGAAACACTTAAGATCTTCTTTTTCAATGTGGCTATCCATAGCATCACAATATTATACAGGCTGTCCCAAAATAATGTATACACTCTTTAAATATTACTAGTTATTAATACATTACCGTGATATGAGAACTTATATAGATGAAAAATATGAAAAACAGATGGATTGTAAGAAGAGGGACAGTTGATCACCAGATTTGACACCCTTGGGTTTCTTTTTTTTTGGGGGGGGGTTCTAAAAGACAAAGTTTACAGCAGGAAACCTGAAACAATTGCTGAAATGAGAGTAGCAATGGAAGAAGAATGTGCTCAAATACCAGAGGAAATGATACTGGACGTTTGTAGGTCTGTTTCTTCAAGATCTGAAAAGTGTATTGAACAGAACGGCAACCATTTTGAGCATTTGATGCGAACTCATCATTATATGAACATTCTGCCATTGACCCAAGTAACTTTTATCTTATTAAAGTTAATTTTCTATGTTTGTTTTTGTATATTTTACTCTCAAATTCTTTAAATGTGTATTCTTTCTCTGGTTTTAATCTTATTTACAAGTCAAAATATATAAATTGAATAAGTTATAACGATTCAAAGAGTGTATACATTATTTTGGGACACCCTGTATTTGATTTTTATTCTCTCATATTCAGAATCTTTTGATTGTTCGTCCTGGGTAAGATGATAAACTAATTCCGACAGCAAGGCCTCTGATCAGGAGTTTTTGAGGAGCGTGGAACCACCTCTTAATTGCTGGTGTTCCCAGGTCCACCCTGATCCGGGATGGTAGCACCTGTTAGGGTCCCAGCTATGAGTAAATAGCTAACGCCCAAACTGGGTTCAAAATACTATCAAAGTGTAAAAATAGGTTTTAATACCAGAAATATTTTGTTAAAAAATTATTACCAGCAATAATTTTTGAAGGAAAATATTACCAGCAGTACTTAAAAAAAAATACCAGCAATACAAACAGCTATAAATTTTTGGAAAAAAATATTACCAGCTATACATTTTTGGAAAAAAATATTGCCAACAATATAAATTTTGTCGGCATTAAATACCCCATTGAGGTTGATAGTGATTTTCTCTGCGTCGCTTAGCTGTGGCACAAGGCCAGAAATATAGAGCACTCATTGAGGATCGAACTCACTCGCAATTGTTCCAGCGAGACAAGCCTGATAACTATTACACCACGCTTGAGGTTGATATGCCGTAAAACAAACTAAACCAAACTTGATTGTAACGACAATCGGATTTCTTATTTATCAAAAATTCGTAACCTACAGACATGTTTTTCGGAGTCACTTTTATTTGTTATCTTTTTAAATTGTCTTTTTGCAAAAGGTTTCGAAATGTGTTGGCATGAACTGTATTCAGGGAATATATTACACATTGCGACATAATTCTTCACTCAAATAGACACAGAAAGAGAAAATAAAACCGACATTCATAAAAAAAAAAAAATTTACTAGCATAAATAATTGCAACTTCGATTGCCCGATAAACATGGTTCCTTCCAATGCCTAACTTTATACGGATTCTTTCGTTTACAGCGAGTATTCAACAAAGTTGAAAGAAGATTCTTGGCAAGTGGACACATTCTTCGACGCCTCAGCGAACTTTCACATTTTGCAAGATTATGCAAATTTACTTTTATTGGAATTGCTGCATTCGTGAAGGAGTGAATCGATAGAAACACTAATTTATAGAATTCAAGAAGAAAAAATACGTTAGTCGCCAGAAAATATATAGAAAATGTATAAAAAGAGAGAGAGAACAAGAAATAAAGAGTATATATATATATATATATATATATATATATAGATAGATAGATAGATAGATAGATAGATAGATAGATAGATAGATAGATATAGAGAGAGAGAAAGAGATAGACAGACAGAGAGAGACACACAGAAGAAGCTGTAGAGACTGTGGTGTGTGTATATATATATATATATATATATATATATATATATATATATATATGAAGAAAAATTTTGGGAAAAAAAAACAAAAAATCCTTAAATGCAATTATGTTGTTTAAAAAAGAATGAAATGTCGACGTCTGATAATTTTCAGTTATCTGTTTTAGATAAGACTTGTTTTTTATGTCCATCGTCTTTGTTAAATTGAACTGAATTGTAATGAATATTGTCTTGAAAAAGGTTTATTAAACCGAAACGTCAGACGTCGACATTTCATTCATTTTAAACAACATAATTGCATTTAAGGATTTTTGTTTGTTTTTTTCCAAAAATTTTTCTTCATTCTGTCGGATTTATATCCATTTACATTTGCTTACATATATATATATATATATATATATACACACACACACATTTATATATATATATATATATATATATATATATATATATATATATATATATATATATATTATATATATATATATATATTTGAGCAGGAGCTCCGCATATTATAAGCAGTATTTTTATTTCGTCTACAGACTTGAATATTCAAGAAACCTTATTAAACCGAGGGCGCATTTTTCTTTATTAAGATTTCTCGAATATTCACGCTACTGTTTAAAAACGGAGCATCCACTTAAATATACGTATTCATTAATATAACGTTTAAAGTGTTATTATATATATATATATATATATATATATATATATATATATATATATATATATATATAATTATTTTTTTAAATGATTCCATCGCGACACAGAAAATTTCAAAATTCAAACTAAATATATAAATAGTTTCATTTTTGAAACATGAAAATTTTCTGTGTCGCGATGGAATCATATTTTTAAAAAAGCAAATAATTATAATGTTTTGCTCTACTGTTTGTATCAATCACTGTTTTTTAAAATAAAAATAATTACTAAGAACATAAAATCTTACTGTTCTTTCTTATTATTTTAATATATATATATATATACACAAACACGCATATATTATGAGCGTCTCTGTGAGTGTATGTTTCTTTCTATATAACGTCATCCACAGACAGACTGTTTCGCTGTTTTCACAGCTCATCAGTGTAGCTAGACATCCGGTTGCCTCTAGGTAGGATCGAAACCCGACTGAATTGGTGTCAGTCGGACATTCTACCACTAAGCAGGGATGAAGGTGGATTTTAGCGTATTTAGAAACACGCCCAGTGACCGACAGTGACTCAATTCGCTTTTTGAGAGAGAGAGAGAGAGAGAGAGAGAGAGAGAGAAAGAGGGGGAGAGAGAGAAAGAAACACACACTCACAGACAGGCTCATATATATATACATCTTAACATCTTATATATATATATATATACATGTTAACATATATATGTTAACATATACATATTAACATTTATATATATGTATGTATGTATATATATATATATGTTAACATATATATATTAACATATATATATTATATATATATATATATATATATATATATATATATATATATATATATATATATATATATGTTAACATTTTTCGATAATATGTAATCAAACAATAAAGGTTAATGATCAACATCAGAAGTCATATTGTGCGGAAATACGTGTGCTCCCTCTTTACCCACACCCCACACCCCACCCCACACGAACAGACATGCGTATGACAGCCAATGATGAACGTGCATCCATTCTCTCACATTCGCCTATTAAGCGACCTTTCTGGCAAATTGTCTTGTAATTCAATTTCCCAAAATGCAATGCGAATTTTTGGAGTCGGTACTTAGCCCGCCCTCTAGCGACGAGTACATGCTATAATGAAGACGGTGAAAACGAACGAAGACATTTTTCGTGAAGAGAAACCGAATAACGAAGATGGTAGGAATAGACGAAGCGAAAAAGAAGGGTAAAGTAAAACTGTTGTTTTACTTTTCTTTTCTCCGTTCTTATGCTTTTTTTCTACGCGTCTTCGTTCCTTAAACTTTTCCGACATATTTTCGTTCATTTGCTTCTATGAGTTGAATCGACATTTTCGCCAGTCTCTACTGATAACTTCTTTATGTCTCTTTTCATTAAGTGGAATGTTCTGCTAAATGAACTTCATTATAATTAAAACGAACGAGCTCGTAAACATTTAAATCTACAATATTTATATTTATAACAAGCTTTTTAACCCTATCACCCATGAAAGTCAATAAAGCCACCAAGACACAAAGTGTTACAGGGTGTGGAAGAATTAGGAACAGAAACATTATTAATTAGCGGGAAGTGAAAAGAATAATCAGGAGGACAGTAGATGCATTTAAATTATTTTCAGATTAAAGATGGCTGTAAAACATTAAGCCGTGATGGAGTTCCACAAGGAAAGAAACATACGTATTATAAGTTTACATATTTATAAGTCTACTAGCAGCATGACCCGGCGTTGCCCGTACAGGATTCAAAAATCGTACGACTCATACAGCAATCGCTATCACTTGACTTAAACTATTTTTGCCCTTCCTTGCCTTTAAAGGAGTGCCCTTTGCCGTGCTGATGTTGCTACATGTCTTACTTCTTGCCTATCTCACACTGCGAATTTTTTCTAAGCTCTATACTAAACATTAAATCTGTTACGAAAAAAGAACTAAACAAAATGAACACAAAACGATCAGCTTTAAAAAAAAGGACTCGTAACTGGAAAAACCGAATGAAAAAAGAATGTTAACAACAAATACTTTTTCACATCCAACTCAGTTCTGCGGGATCAGAATCAACGTTGAGTTTAAGCAAGCGAATGAGCCAATTGGAGTAAAGTGCCAGGCAGATTTAAATTTTTTCCCACTTTTGACGAATGCAGCCATTGATTTTTTTTGCATGCTAGCATGCTAGTTAACATTCGTGTCAGTCAGCTGTTGGCTCTGACGCTGGCCAATAGAATCTTCCTGCCTATTCGTGGCAGCCAGTTATAGGCTCTCGCTCTTGGCCAATAGAAAATGGCCACAAACAACATGAAGACTGCCGTAGAAGCATGAAAAAATCGATTATTTTCACTATCGATGGGAGTTGGGAAATGCAAAGTCGGTCTTGGCCTTCCGCTAACTTGGAGCATGTACATGTAAATTTTGGTGCAAATCCGTCAAAAATTGCGGCCGTGCATTCGTTACACACATACACACACACACACATCATGCCTTTTATAGATAGAGATCATTCGTCTATGCTTTCAATATTGCTGCCATATTTAGTCTGATGCACAAGCTATGTATTTAGATATTCTTGATAAAGTTTAAATAAGAATTTGCAATTTTATTGGTTCTGGCCTGGCATCTTGCTTTCAGTTACTTTCCTACCTCCCTAACATAGCTTCCCTATGCCTTTTCTTTCGAGAAAAGAAACTGGTAGCATAGGACTTACGGTTACATCTCGCCAGCTCAACTGTAAATTGATGAGATCTCGACGCCAATCTTGTACTGTACTTAAATTCAAAATGTCTAAGTATAATAGCGAAGTGCTCATCTGAAAAATTACCATGAAATTATTTACACATATATCTTTCTACCTGAATTTCCAGAATGAGGAATTATTATTATTTATATTTAGACTAATGTCATCATCTTTGTTGTTATTGTAACAACGTTTCGACTGTTGTCAGCCTTCTTCAGATGTTTGTCGATCCGCGTAACCCAAGGGGAATTTCGAACTGAGCACTTTAATCTACAGTAGTAGATAGTTCTCTTTCTGCTGTCCATGTCTAGGGATATCTCGTCTTTTTTTTCTTATTTATTACTGCTACTTTTGGAGGTAGTGGCTCGGATTGATAATTCAGAGAGCCGAGTTCAAATTCCAGTAGAGTTCGTTATATTCAAATACCGCTGGCAAACGTATAAATCCATCTCTTCTCTCCCTCAGCTATGGGTAAATAGTTGGGTCATTGGGTTTAGGAGATGGACAACTCTGAATTCAAAACCTGAGTATACCTGCTTCCTCCGACCAGACCCTGGTTAATTAGGGGTGGGGATAACGGCAGAAATCAAGAGCCTTTAAAGGGGAGCATTAACTCTTCAGAATGAATGGCCAGCTAACCCATTTATGGATAAAATAGTCTCACGAACCTGGAATTGAGCCAGCGCGGTGATTACAACCACACCCTCTGAAGGCATGGTCAATCAGGAGGGTTTCCTGTAAGAGGAGCGAGAAGGCACTAGATTCGGATTTGGATTTGGACTCTCAGCTCAGCCTGTTTCCATTCGGTCTATGTTTCTTCTGACCGGAATATGGATTGAACAGACAATTATTATGTCAACAAATTCAAGGAACCAATGCATTAATTCACTAGAACTCGTTCATTTCCTGGCTCTGAAGACTCAGTATAAATAGGTGAGGTGGGCACCTCTGTGGTGTAATGGTTAGCAAGCTGGTCTCGCGAAAACAATTACGAATGATCTGTCTATATTTCTGAGATGAGGTATTATGTACATTATTTACATTATTTGGACTATTGTCCTCATCTTTGTCGCCATATTTATTACAACGTTTCGGCCCTTCAGTATCTGTCTATATTTCTGAGATGAAGTATTATGTACATTATTCGGACTATTGTCCTCATCTTTGTCGCCATATTTATTACAATGTTTCGGCCGTTGTACGCTCCAGCCTTCTTCAGGTGGTTGGAATGTCGAACTGAACCCTTTATTTTGCTCACTGGGGTAGACTGTTTTAGTTCCACGTGCCATGTCTAATGGATGTCAGTTATCAGTTATCTCCTGTTAATTCCCCTCTCCAAGTTCTCCACCGCCTTAACCAGGTATTGAACTCACACTCTTTGGGTCCTCAAGGACACATGGCACAGTGGATAAAGGCATTAGCTAGATCTTGTTGCTGAAGGATGTCATAATGTCCGAAAGAATCTGGAAAAGCGGGGTTGCAAGTTTTCAAATGTCTGAAGTTGTGTCCTTAAAAATTTCTTACTTTAAATAGCAGGAAGATTATATAAGCACTTTATTTTAATGTTATCATCAATAGAGCATCACATTTCAGAGATGAAGACCGGCTTTTGATACGACTAGCTGTTACTTCGTTTTCCCATGTCTTCTCTCCTATGTTGCTGTAACATATCCACTTTTCATTGCACATAAAAATTGGATTAAAATGTGAAAGATTTAAATCACTATCATTTTTAATTTAATTATTTTTTCTCACCAGAATTTATCTTACATATTTATAAGTCTACCATTCGCCCATGCTTTGAATATTACTGCCACATTTCATCTGATGTTCCTGCTCTATATTTAAAGATTCTTGATAAAATCCACAGACGAATCTGCAATGTTATTGCTCCTAACTTGGCGTCTCAGCTTCAGTCACTTTCACACTACTGTAACGGTGTTTTCTTTGCCTTTTTTTATAAATATCTCCAGGGTATTTTTCCTGTATGGTACCTAGACTTTATGAATTTAAGCGCAGTACTAGATTAGCGGCAAGATTTCATCATTTTACGTTTGAAATGGCTAGAAGAACCATAAGTTCTATGCTAACAGTTTCTTTTATGGCTTGTAGAACTCTCTTCCAGCTTCTTGCTTTCCTGTCAGCTTTGATCTTCAAAAACTTAAATGCAATGTCAAGCGTTATCCTCTCTCTTCTTAATTGCTGTTTTATTATTGTTCTCGCTCTTCTTTCATACATAGTAACGCGTTGTGCCTTAGTGGCTTTATTGCCTTGCTTGATGTGAAATTATTATTAAAAGAAATATGTGTACAGTCGTGCCACACACCAAAGCGATTAAAATAATCAAGCTTATTCAAAATGATTTTCAATGCTAGATTTTGGATATTTTGAGTATATTGGCCAAATTTTATGCCCAGCGTATAACATTTATCATTGGCAATTAATGTCTCCATTTGTTTGTTATAAACCTTTCGTACATACCTTGAATATTGCTGCCACATTTTGTCTGGTGCTCAAGATATGTATTTAGAGATTCTTGATAAAATTCAAATTAGAATCTGCAATGTTATTGGTCCTGACCTGGCATCTCATCTTCAGTCCCTTTCCCAAAACCATAACATAGCTTCTATATGCCTTTTCTATAAATACTTTCATGGTAATTGTTTTAATGAAACCTGGTACCTATGGTACCTAACTTTTATGAACTTAAACGCTGTACTCGATTGGCAGTAAGGTTTCATTGTTTTACAGTTTGAAACGGCTAGATGTAACCGTGTGTTTTATGGTAACAGTTTCTGTTCTCACGCTTCTCAAATAGGAAACTTTCTTCCGGCCTCTTGCTTTCCAGTCAACTTTGATTTTCAAATATTTAAATACAACGTCAGTCGTCATCTTCTGTCGTTTCCTTCCTGATATCAGCACTGCATGATCTGTGCTTAAGATTATGGCCGGCAATTGTAGAGCCATGGTTAATGCAATTGACAAAGTTTGCAGTAAACAGTGACAAGAGAGAGAAAACAAAAGAACAGGGCAAAAATAATATTAAACAAGCAAACAATACATACAAGCCAATAAATAATAAGGCAAGAAGTTCATAAGATAAAAATGGCGACAACACATAAAAGCGGGAAACACACAAACGATCACAGCGTTCAGGTTTCAAGTCAAGAAAGAATAAAATAAAGTTTGATGAGACCAAGAAGTGGCCTTATTATCTTATTGGTTATGAAAAAAATCCCACAAGAAATCCGGATAACCCTATTTTCTTCGATTTCTTTTTAGAATAGGCAATGGGACTTATACTAAGTTAAAACTTAAAACTTAATGTTGCGAAAGGGTAAATGCAAGTGTCAGCCAGGACTCTTTGCAAATTACCTCCCCCTCTCATTGTTACCTCTGTTTTTGTTGTTGTATGTGTTATATGTAATAGGAGTAGGTAGGCTTTCCTACCGCCCGGTCCACACTCCTCCCCCTCCATGAGTAGAGGCTTACGCCTTGTTTCTTGTTTAGGAAGGGGTTTCCGGTACTCTCTCTCTCTCTCTCTCTCTCTCTCTCTCTCTCTCTCTCTCTCATTGGCCTCTGTATCTCCAGTTGCCTTGATCTATCCACGACTCTTCTCCTCATCCTTTTCCTCTATCACTCCTATCTGGTCTTGCTCCAAATTTTCTGTAACCCCTTGCGTCCTAGTGGCTTTCCGCCTTGCTTGGGGTGAAACGCTTAAAAAAAAAAAACATTTGATCTGGTGCTCCTGTTATATATTTAGAGGTTCTTGATAAAATCCTCAGAAGAGTTCATGATAATTTTTTCCTGTATGGTACCCAGACTTTATGAAGAGCAGTACTAGATTGGCGGCAAGGTCTCATCATTATGCGTTTGAAACGGCTCCAGGTAACCATAAGTTCTATGCTAACAGTCTAACAAGATAGATAGATAGATAGATAGATAGATAGATAGATAGATAGATAGATATAACGAATAAAAGATAGGTAGATAATGAATATAAAATAGATAGATAGATAGATAATGAATACAATATAGATAGATAGATAGATAGATAGATAGATAGATAGATAGATAGATAGATAACGAATAAAAGTTAGATAATGAATATAAAATAGATAGAGAGATAACGAATAAAAGATAGGTAGATAATGAATATAAAATAGATAGATAGATAGATAGATAGATAGATAGATAGATAGATAGATAGATAATTAATACAATATAGATAGATAGATAGATAGATAGATAACGAATAAAAGATAGGTAGATAATGAATATAA